AAGCCTATAGATTAAAAAGATTATCTTCTTTTTGAAATATTTTTTAATTTAGGCTGTAATCCTATGCACCGACTATTCATAATTATTTACTATTACTATTTTTAAATTTAAGAAATCATGTTTAAAATTCTCACAAGCAATTAACATGAAAAAGCCAATTAAGTTCTGTTATTTTTCTGAGTTCATGCATTTAACAACATACTTAATAAGCTCAACTTTCCCATCTTTCTTACTGATGGAATACAATGGTGGGCAGCATTTATGCAGCTTTCAGAATGAGACTATCTTCCTGTTCAGTGAACTCTATTTCAAATTTAGGATTAAAATTCACAGCCTATCAGCCTCAGAAGATTATATGGCTGTGCACCTTCAACCCATATGCATCTGTCATTTCCAATCCAAGCACTCTACATTTGTGCCCAAAATTTGGTGATAAAATGAAAGGGTTTTTTTGCTACCACAATTTTTGGCACGAGAACACATAAATAAGCATGGAAACTTAAAGGGGTGCGAAAAAAGATTAATTTCTACCCTTTAAAGCTGGTAAGAACAGTAAAAAGCATATCACTGAAATTTGGCAGCAAAATCACCAAAGGTTGGAAACATGAATTTTCATGTGAAATGCTAAAATGCAGAAATATCCAGCTTTAAACATCCCCCCAAATCTTTGAAAATAGGTCCTGTGATGTCACAAAAAAACCCCTTCTGCAGCCTTCCAGTTGGCCTAGAAGCCTGTTAAAGCCTGAAGGCTAAAAAGGGTTACAGGCACCCCCACCACATCCGTTACTATTTTACCCACTCTATCAGTCAAATAGTTTTGCACATACTGGTCGGTGGCTTCTCCTTTTGCTAGTTTGTCTGCACACGCATAGGCTCCTTTGTGCAGCCAGCAATAAGTGTCTACAGCAACTACTTGTCCTTTGTACTTCTTCACATGAGTAGGTTCAGCTGCCTCTTTGATAAACTGGAGCAACCCTTGGATTCCCATTGTATCGTATCAGTTGAATTCTGCAAGCAAAGTAAAGAAACACAAAGCCAACAGATTCATAGTTGCTCCTGAGTTGGGCCAGGAAACTTTACAACCCACATCGCTAAGATTTCCATAGACCTCTAGTGCAAAAGAGGCTCTACTACACCCTCACCAAGATGTATTAATTTGATTAATCAGAGAAATTGTTATCAATAAAATAATATATAAAATATTAGTAACTGGTAACTGGTTTGCTGTAGCATGCACCAACAGAACTTGCATTCACATTCACTTATACTGAGAATTGATTTTGATACATGAGGATTTTCTGACATTAGAATCAACTTTCAGGAATAGATTGCCACAGGCGCAAGACATAGTCTCATCTCTAGTTCATACCTTTCTCTCTTTTCATGTTCTCCAAAATCCATAAAATCCTTTGATCTAACATAGTATAGGGGGGACAAATTAGCAGTAACACATCTAAGGAAAGTGACAGCTCCTTTCGTCGAGACCTAAAGACTTGGCTGTTTCAACAAATGGGTTGATTCTGATTCCTGGGTTTTATTTTTTTATTGTTGCTGTTTTAAATTGGTTTTAATTACGTTTCCTTTTATTATTGTATGTTTTTAACCTGTGTTCGCCGCCCTGAGTCCTTAGGGAGAAGGGCGGCATATAAATTTGTGTAAATAAATAAATAAATATTAACTTTAATTGGAAAGCTGCTGAATTACTTTCTCATGTCCAAGTTGTTGCTTCTCCCTGCTTCCCATTCTTATCCCACTAACACCTAGTCCTAGAAGAATCCTAAGCAAGCTTAAACGAAATCTCTAAAACAATACAAATGACCAACCCTTTCATAGGAAGGCGAAGGGGAGGAAAAATGTATTAAAGTAGATAAATTCTTTCCTTTGAAGCGGATATCCTCTGCAGGTCAAGTTTTAAGCAGAAGTGCCGATTCTGAAGCAGCAAGCCACGCGCTCTAAGTGGCACTGAAAACAATGGATTTAATAAATTTATTTATTTATTTAGCGTATGGCTGGTCACACACAGTATTAAAACACTTCATTTTTACAGGTTAAAACATTTAAAACAATCAAAAAAAAAAGCAGTAAGAAAACCTAAGAGGAAAATTTAATAAAGACCTTAGATCACTAGATAAAAAGATTCCAAAGTTTTCTTTTCTTTTTTCTTTCCTCCATCAACATTCTTACTGGCGCCATTGAATTTAAAGGACAATATGCGCTTAATCACTTTGCATTCAATTGGCGAAAGAGACAAAGCCGCAACGTGTACTTTTCTTTTTTTTTTAACTAAAACACAGGCAGTGCGCCCTACGCATAACCTCTACAATAGTTTGGGTCGGAAATATCCCGGGAGACGATTTCACTTTCCTTTTAATGTAGAGACGCTATCTCGTCCAGCTGCTGAAGTTGGGAAACCCAAAAATGTGGTGCCCCTCCCGCCTCCCCCAGTACCTGATGCAGGAGTGCAACTGCTGGGATCGGGGCAGCGCCGAACCGTCACCCGGCGACAGACACTTTTGCCCATTCGGCAAAACCAACCCAGCGCGCGAAGCTTTCAACCCGCGCGCGCTTCCCAAGCCCCACCTCGACCCCGCCCTCCTCGCGAGAACGAGGGAAAGTCGAGGAACCCGTGTAGACCACAACGACCAGCATGCCGCGCGGCCGAAGGAGTTCTTCACCGAGCCTTGCCTTGGTGCTCGCCGCTCTGCATCTTGGGCGTTGTAGTCCACGCGTTTCGCTTTGCGCGATTTTGTCTTTTAAAGTTATGGCGCGTTTGTTAATGAAAGTTTGTTGCTACTGGAGTTGTGTTTTCCGTCGGGGTATATACGCGTTCGGTTAGAACGATAAATTAAATGCAGTTGTCGCGTTAATAGGTCGGTATGGCTGGAACCTAGCTTAGTTTATGGCTTGTCATGATGGGTGAATGTTGGCAGTTGGATTAATTCAGCAAAGAAACATTCATTTAGCAAGTTGTGGAAAAGATGTCGTGGAACTATGGAGGGATATATTAACCTGATTGTTATTTTATCAGTGCTGTCATTTTGTGAGCTTTCAGTCTTTAGTATCAGTATGCCACCTAGAGTCTGCTTTCATCGAGGCAGTACAATAGATGAATCTTATAAATAAGCACCCTTCTACCTATTAAATCTACAAACCTCTTGGCAAGCTCCAGGATCCAGAAAATCTGGGTGCCTAAATTGGTTAATTGGATAAAGGCCATTGACTCCCGATTGATTCCCAATAAATGCACAGATGTCATGCTAATGTATTTGTAGCAACAACCCAATAATTCTTTAAAGGAAAGCCCAATAATATCTTTAATTCTGTCCATCCAATTTAGTTTTTCTCTACCCCTTCTGTCTTCCTCAACCTTGCCAACATTCTTATCCAGCAACTAGTGAAGCATATGCCAAAGAATGTGAATTTCTTTACACTATCGCTTCAATGGAAGTCTTAGTCCAGGATCATCTTCAGGGACGGGTTCCAAATCCCATTGCTACCGTTTCGCTTGTGCAGTGGGCGGAGCTTCCTGCTACCACCGCTAGCGGTTCGCCCGATCCGCTAGCGGTAGCAACTCACCACCGGTAGCAACCCACCACTGATCTACTTACATTGTTTTATTTTTCTTGTAGTTTATGGTACTCTTTATAACAATATCCAAATTCCTTTCATCTTTCTTTTGAACTTTCTCAGTCTTAATCTTTCTGCACATTTTTCCAATATCTTTTACTGCATATGCATGAGGAATTCATATAACTTTATGATTGGAATGAAGAGGTTTTAGGTTAGCACTAACAGGATTTCCAGGCCTAGGACTGTTTTTTTAAAAAGGTTAAACTTGGGTTATATATGTGCACAACTTTAAATATGAATTGCATGGATTTCCAAAAGGATTTTGTACCTGGAAAAACCTGCAGGATGAAGAAATAAAAGAGTTAGGGGGCAAGAATGCAATACAAAAAAAGTTTTAATGATTTCTTAGGTTTGAAAAAAACAAAATGAGTAAAAGATGACACCATGCTACTACTTATTCCTGGTGTGATAAAAATAAAGAGGGATTTTTCCCTCTTCATATAATGAGGGTCATCTAGGGTCATATAATGAAGCTGAATGATGTGTTATTCACACAGAAAAAAAAGTAGAGAGTTGTAACTCAGACCCAATTAATGTCTTTCATTTAGTGATTAAGTTTAAATTCTGCCTTATGGTAGGGCTATTTCAGTTACAAGAAAAAAACATTCCTTTAAAAAATGCTTTGCTGCCTTTCCAAACACTTTCCCCCAAATTTAAGGTACTGCAACATAACAGTTACCATATTAATAAATCAAACGGTTGATATGTTCTAGAGAGAATGCTTGCATGCATTTACTCTGAACCTAAGTATTTTTTTCCTTGCAAATGAGTCCTACAGTCATTCTGAAACTAATTTCCATCTTACTCCGAAAATAATATTACACATTGTGCAGCCTGTTAATTTAAATTTACTGTCTACTCAAAAAGCTTTGCAGCTATGAATTAGGCTTAAAGGTGGAACAATTTTTAAAGAGTTTAATGCTTTGTACAGTATATTTTATTGAACACACAGTTCTGGTGAGGAATATTTTTTTTTCTTATTATTTGCCTGTGAGCAATTTGTACGTTACTGTCATTTCTTGCAAAATGATTTCTTTTTTTTGGAAGTGTCAGTAGCACACCTATCCTAGGGACAAAAATATATTCACAGTTATCTCGTCATTATCACTGAGATAAAAAGAGCAATGAATCAAACAGCAATTGGAAAGTAGGCAAACATGTTAGTTCAAAGAAAGAAAGAATAGTTTTAATATATCACCTGCTGTTTCTGTGCTATTAGGAGCATCATTTACATATTTTTAGTCAAATTGCTGCCTACAAAGTTAACACTCAAGGTGTTGCTGCAGTGTCATTTTGACCCTCTGAATTTCTGCAGCTTGGTTCTGGCCACTGGATCCTTGATTCCATACTTGGATTAAAACAAAATGTGTTTCTGCTTTCAGGAAACTTGCAAGTCTGTTTGTGAATCTCCTAAGAAGACATCTGAAAACAGTTCTATCCCATACAGCTGAACTGGGTTAGTTGTTGTACTTTCACAAAATATAGCAGTATTGCCAAATGTTTTAATATTATTCTTCCATACAGGCTTATCAGCTGATAATGATACAATCCACAAAGCTCATAAGACAATCTGAGACCATTTCTAAATGCAGGTAGTCTTCAACTTACAAACACAATTGAGCCCCAAATTTCTGTTGCTAAGAACTTCTGTTGCTGAGACATTTGTTAAGTGAGTTTTGCACCATTTTATGACCTTTCTTGCCACATTTGGTAAGTGAATAACTGACCATTGTTACATTAGTAACATGGTTATAAAGTGAATCTGGCTTCCCCATTGACTTTGCTTCTCAGAAAGTCACAAAAGAGGATCACTTGACCCCAGGACCCCAGGATAAATATGAGTCAGTTGCCAAGCATTTGAATTTTGATCATGTGACCATGGGGATGCTGCAATGGTCAAAGTGTGAAAAATGGTCAGAAGCAGGAAGTGGGTTCCAACCGGTGTTACCACCGATTCTCTTCGCGCACGTGCTTTGTGCGCGATCGGCCGAAGAGGTTGCAGAAAAAATGCTTTTAAAAGCCTCTGAAGTTCCCAGCTGAGTTGCCTGATCGTCAGAGGCTTTTAAAAGCATTTTTTTAAAGAACCTCTTCAGCCGAAGAGGTTGTAGAAAAAAATGTTTTTAAAAGAAAAAAAAGCCTCTGATGATCAGGCAGCCGATGTCGTCAGAGGCTTTTAAAAGCATTTTTTTAACAACTTCTTCAGCCGAAGGGGTTGTAGAAAAAATGCTTTTAAAAGTAAAAAAAAAAAAAGTTGGCCACACCCACCCAGTCACATCACCCCCCACCAAGCCACACCCACAGAACCGGTAGTAACAAATTTTACATTTCACCACTGATGTGTATATGTTTGGTTGCCAGTCTTTTTTATTTTCACCTTTGTTCATTGCAACACTTCTTACTGCTTCACAATTTTCGGAGTTGTACTGGGAGCAATGGGGAGGAATGATCAGACATCAGTGGCATCTCACTGAGTTTTACACCTTTTCGAGAGTGTGATAAATGTGATGACTGTAAAAAAAAAGCAATGTTGTTTATATCAGACTGAATGCCAGCTAACTTGTTGCTCAGGATAAACATAACAACACTGTTCTCTTTGTATGAGTTATTAAATTTCAAGGTTAATGACAGCAAATGCAAACTTTTATTTAACTAGGAAATCTGTTTGTTAATCTAAATTGATATAAAGTAGTGCTGCTACTTCAGCTTCCCAAATATGTGTTGATCCCAGGATTAACAGAATAATAGACTTGGAAGGGATCTTGGAGGTCTTCTATTCCAACCCCCTGCTCAAGCTAGAAACCCTATACCATTTCAGACAAATGGTTGTCCAATCTCTTCTTAAAAACCTCCAATGTTGGAGCACCCACAACTTCTAGAAGCAAATCATTCCACTGACTAATTGTTCTAACTGTCAGGAAATTTCTCCTTAGTTCTAGGTTGCTTCTCCCCTTGATTAGTTTCGATCCATTGCTTCTTGTTCTGCCTTCAAGTGCTTTGGAGAATAGGTTGATGCTGTCTTCTTTGTGAAGAATCATGTTTTTGATGTCTAACCTGACCCCATGTTTGATGATAATGAAAAATCCTGAAAATGATAAGAGCATCAACAGATTTGCATTTCCCCTATTTTCCAATGTAGGGTAGCTACTTAGACTACTAAAACTGTTTCTGAAGCTTAATTATTATAATCCATTTGCTTGCATTTATTTTGTCCCAGAATGAAAGGTTTTGGTATTATGTGGATATATCCCATATAGTGGAGTTCTTTTTGGTTTCTTTATTGATTGCTATGAGGATGTATCATATTTTAAAGAAATATAGCCTAAATTGAATTTTTGTTGTCTCCAACCAAAATCTGGCAATTAAAAAAAAACCCCAATAGATTAAAAAACAAGTGAAAAATAATAGCCTTCATATCTGCAAACAGTTTATCTACTTCCAGTAGATGAGATTATATTTTTAGGTTGGGTTGAACTGTGGAGTCCTTGGTGCTTTTTGAGCATAGTTGGGTAGCTAACATTCATATACTTAACATGTATAGAAGAAGAAATAGTTAACTCACGGAATTTTGAATAAGTCGACTTCTCTTGGCCATATTTTCAAAAGAACTATCTTGATCAGCAGAAGCTATTTTCAGCTTTGGAGGTGTTACAACCTTTTTCAAGTAATTCAGAAAAATCAAGAATTATGTGAACAACTGCAATAATTTATGAAGGAACATGGACAAGGAAAAAGAATCTATTAACTGGGGTCTTGAAATCATCTTTATAAGAGGCTTTTCAATGTTTACCACATTCACACTTACAACCATCAGTAGTGTGCCTGTTTCGAATACGACTGGGGAAAGATTTATATTGGAATTGGCATCCAAGTTATCTTCAGAAAAGGTTCATAGTTTTAGAATTTACATACACAATTAGTATGTTGTTGTTTTTTTTATAAACCAAACATTCACATTATCAACTATCCTTATCCAGAGGCAAACTGTTTACTTTGACTTAAAAATCTTCCATGCAGTTTTCTTTTTTGCTTTTTGAATGACCTGTTTGTCACATTTATATAGTTTAAAAAAATCAGTTCTAAATGGACCTCAACTCTCTCCCCCTCCCCTGCTCAAAAATATAAAATGCCCACATGTCTGTCATAAACATGGATCTTTTGGGGGGGAAAAACCCGGAGAATCTTTTGCAAACTCAAGACAGATGATGGTATGCAACTCCTTAGAAACTTCAGATCTTATGAATAATCCTCTCGTTGGCTGGTATATTTTCAAGTTTCCAACATTGGGCATAAACAATTTGTGCTGCTGTTACTATATGTAAAATGATATGTTGGAGTTGCTTCTTTATCTTTTGATTAATTGTACATTTGCCTATCATCCAGTAAAGTTTAATTTCCCATATTCTTATGTCATGGGTGTTCAAGATGCTATAAACAGTGTAGGGTTTTTCTTTTGCCTTCCTTTTCTATAAAACTATCAATTATACTGTCATTAGTGGAAAGGATATACAATTGGTAATTCTGTTTTGATGTTGTTTATTTACAGCATTTTTCAATTACCCATATTTGTAACTTAATCCTGTGCTCTTTTTTTTTTTTTTCCAGGAGCAAATTTAATTCATGCTATTTGAAATCACCCAGCTCTGACTTGGTCTTATTCCTCCAAAGGTATGCTGAGTTAGAACTACTCTGTACTTTGTCAGTGACTAACTACCAGGAGATTCAGGTGCTAGGGCTGTAGTCTAAACTGGAAAGTCAGAAAACAACTACGGCCATGAAACGTTCGTCCATGTACTTGCAGGAGTTTAGCTTGACTGGCTTTTTTATGGCTTTCTGCTAGTGAAACTATGCTTTTATGCGGTTATATTGCACTGAGGTTAGATATCTAAGCCAAGATTCATGCAGGAAGACTTTTAGGCTGCAGACCTATATCCATTCAATATTTGCCTGTTACACAAAGAATTGTCTTTTGCTGCAAAACACTATGGCTTATATGGTATTTTTTTCTGTGCTTAATAAAACAGCATTTATTACTTTTAAAGAGCAAGGAAACAATTTTATTCTGATCTGTATTTTAAGCTACTATACTCCCTTAATTATTCATTTTCACCTATTAATCACACCAGAGGTTCACTACCTATTGCTCTAACAACCTTTGATGGAGTTTGCAAAGCTCCTTTAAAAGGTGTCAAGAAATTGTAATGCACCTAAGCATCAGCATTTGTTAAAATGCATGATCAGATTTTACACTCTCTCTCAAATGATAATGATGCTAATAGTGGTAGTAATCAGTATTAGGGAATGTAATTCAGGATGACTCCATGGCAGGGGTGAAATTCAGCAGGTTCTGACAGGTTCTGGAAAACCGATAGCGGAAATTTTGAGTAGTTTGGAGAGCCGGCAAATACCACCTCTGGCTGGCCCCAGAGTGGGGTGGGAATGGAGATTTTGCAGCATCCTTCCCCTGCCACGCCCACCAAGCCACACCACACCCACCAAGCCATGCCCACAGAAACGGTAGTAAAAAAAAATGAATTCCACCACTTCTCCATGGTGGTGAATGATAGTTCCAGTGAGAAACAAGGAGATATTTCACATATAATATTTCAGTAATTGTTGCATTTACATTTATACATTTGATGTGAACAATACTGTAAGCATTTCTTCCTGGAATGCTCCCATTTTTAGAATGGGATGTAGTTGATGGTTTCCAACCTACTTCCATGCTCTACTCTCTGAAAATTTGTTCTGGAGTTCTATAATTTTGCAGGACATAGGAGCAGAGAAAGATTTCTTTTCCAGAATTGCGGAAGAGCTATTCTGGACCCAAACCAATATCCATATTGAAGTTTTCAACTGGGAAGTTACTGACTTCCTCCTAAAAGCAAATATCATGGTTTTTCTTTTCTAAAAATTCAGCTTGTTATTATAGGACAATCAAGTCTCCTGAAAAAGCGCTCCAAAAGGGAAGGAAGTATAGAAAGCAATAAGATGACATGGCTTAAACTAAGATGTAAAATTGATTTCATTTTAAAGAAATCTGCCTTTCACATCATAGTATTTCACAAGTCTCCTCAGAATTCAGTGGAACTTCTGGTTATATGTATATATTCTGAGTGAAACTTACTTCTGAGAAAAAATATTCATGATTATTCTGTAAATTTAATTCAGATGATTTGGTAAAGACAATCATTATGGCAGTTACAGTATACAGTATAGATATTTATTGTCCATCCAAATATGCAATGTCTTATACAAAGTTAGATCTTATTAATGATGATGGGTGATTTGAACCCCACCTGATAAAACCTTTCATTCTATATTAGGAAGGAAAAATATAATATCATAGGTCAACACTATTAATAGTTCAAGAAAATGTTACCAAGTACTTTACAAATATTTTATAAATAAATACTGGCAAATTCACAAAGAATAACTTTCAGAATAGCTGAATTTTAATGTTCTTGTCTTTATGAAGCTTCCATTTAAGCAGTTTACTTTAAACTCACCCTATAGATTGGTATAGATCCAAATACAATACCAGCTTCTTTGTTTACAGATTTGAAACTTTCCAAAGGGGTTTTATTGACCTGTAATATTAAAATAATATAATTTGAGTTCCAAAAATATTTGTCTCTCAGTTGTATTGTATTTAATATATTAATTTTTATTTCTAAAATCTGCCTTAAGTTGAACTCAGTTCCTGTTTCATTGAAGTACAGCTTCTTTAGTGAAAATAATAGTGGCTAGATATAGTTCTGACTTGCAGACTAGACTGGGAAGTAAAAGAATCTCCAGAAGATGGCAAGGTATACCATTTCTACTGTTACCAAAAAAACCCCCAAAAAACCAAAAAACAAACTCTCTAGTGCAGTGATGGCTAACCTTTTTGCCGTCGTGTGCCAAAAGCGGGAGATTGAGGGGGGTGGGGTGTTGCACGCGTGTGTGCCCATACCCATAATTCAATGTGACCCACATTCACGACCCCCCCGCACTCCCCCGTTTTTGGCACGCGATGGCATGGTGGGCCCAGTAGGCCCGTTTTTCGCCTTCCCCAGGCTCTAGAGCCTTTCTTGGAGCCTAGGGAGGGTGAAAACAGCCTTCCCCACCCCCCAGAGGCCCTCTGGAGGCTGGAAACAGTCTGTTTCCCAGCTTCCAGTAAGCCTAGAAGGCCCAAAAATCAGCTGGCCGGCATGCGCATGCGCGCTGGAGCTGAGCTAGGGCAATGCTTGCGTGCCCACAGATATGGCTCTGCGTTCCACCTGTGGCACGTGTGCCATAGGTTCGCCATCACAGCTCTAGTGTCTATAAAGTCACCAAAAGTTGAGTTCAATTCAAGGAATTTCACAACAGCAATATTCTTCTTTGTTTCATTATTTCAACATAGGTTTGTTTGAACAAATAAAGGAATGTTAGTGCTACTTTCATTATACAATGTAAGGCATACATTTTTCTTAAATAGTTCGGAAGTATGAAGTTTAAGCATTGCTTACTATAATTTGAGTCATAAGCTGACAGAATGATAGTTCTCAAATTTCATATTACACAGTTGGAAAAACCAAAAACTTGTCTAGCCAAACCCAAGTCTTTCTTACTGTCTTGCTTAGCATGATCCAAAATCCAATAAAATCCAATAACCATTCCAATAAGACACTGTTTCTTAACCTTAGCACCTTTAAGATGTGTGGACTTCAACTCCAAGAATTTCTCAGCCAGGAGTTGAACTCTATACATCTGAAAACTGCTGAGATTGAGAAACACTGCAGTAAGGCAAAATAAAGTTTCAACAGTTAGCACCTTGGGAGAAGCCAGGGACTTGAAAAACTTAAAATCCAGATCAACTTCATGTCGGCTAGGCTTTTTCAAGGTTAAAGATGACTTGGTCATAGTCTTCCATCTATTAAAAAGGTATAATTGAGAAGCAATATGTTACTTGCAAAACAAAGGAAGCATTCAGTTTCATAATTATGGCGGTGATGAATACCATTAATCTCAATTCCAATATGGTCACCAGGAAAACAAAATAGTGTTACTCTGCTAGTTTAATGCTGCAATTTGCTTAGGCATAAGCCCCGTTGGAATACAATTATTGAAGAATAATATTCATTGAATACAATGGCTATTTATTCTGATTATGTATTTGTGAGATTGCTTTAAATCAGAAATAAACCCAGGCAAGACTCTGGCATTGAGTACACTTCTTTAACAAATAACATTTATTTATTGATTGCCCACCTCCAGTGGACTCTGGGTGGCACACAAAACTATAAAAAAATAGTTAAAACTATTAAATTGGACAGACAGACTAGTAGACTAAAATGATCCAATAAACAACAAATGCAATAAAACAAAGCAGGAGCCTTACAGAAATCATGAAACACCAACTCAGACCTGGGATCCAGGCCAGGTTTTGAAAGGTTTCCGGAACCCCAGGAGAGAGGGTCTCTTCCTTATATGGATGTGTGTGATATACTGTTCCAGAGGGTGGGAGCAGCAACAGAAGGCATGTTTCCATGGTCCCACAAAGTGACAGTGTTTAATGGACCTGAAGCACAGTCTCTGTTCTGGAATGTACTGGGTGGGCAGAAACTATTGGAGATAATTTTATTGACAGGCAAACAATACTTCAAAAATGAATAGATTAGAATAGGAAGAGACTGATGGAAGATAAATATTTTCATCATTAGCTAATTGCTGCCAGACTGTAAATCCTATTTGCTGCCTGACATCACAGTGAGAAAAAAATGATGTTTCCCACTATGTGGCTCCTAACAATGAAACAGAAAAACCAAGCTAAAAAGGAGAGGCAATTAGTGATTACCACAGATGTAAATAAAAGATTCAGGTAGTTGAGACAAAACAATTCCTGATTTATTGTAGAGGAATGGATCAATGATGAGGACATTTCTGGGAAAAATTAAGGATCCTATTAACAGCATTAATATAAAAGGACCATCAAAAATTTAATAGAAACTCAATTAGCTGACATTATGTGCCACTCCTTATACAAATATAATTGTGTGAAATATAGTACAACTGGTGCAGAATCTACCGTTTCCCCTAAAATAAGACATCCCTTGATAATAAGCCCAATTGGGCTTTTAAGCACATGCACTAAAATAAGCCCCTGTCCCAAAACTAATCCCTCCCCTAAAATATTTAAATGCATGCATAGCTGGTCCCCACCATTTCCATTGTTTCCTCCATGCGCCCCAAAATAATAAGACCTGCCCAAAAATAAGGCCAAGCGCTTATTTTGGGGTTCAAAAAAATATAAGACAGGGTCTTATTTTCGGGGAAACACGGTATATACTATTAAATTTCTCCTGTTTATAATTTTCTGTTGGTACATCATGGTACACCATAGGACTAAATTAAATCTAGCACCTCTTACTCCTGTTGGATTCAAATTTTGCCTCTGTGCTGCTGTGGTCAGCATTGGTCACATGATTGTCATGGCCCAATGGATGAATGACAATGTGGAACTGAAACCCAAATTTGAAATTTCTTAATGGCAATTAAGAATGTTTCTTAATGGTTCTTGGGAATATACCAGAATGGAGAGCAGCGTAGCAGTCTTCTTCATGGTCTATGGTTTCCTTTGTTTCCCCTTCTGCCACAAAGGGGCAAGCAATTCTGTGGGTCAGCTGAGGAAGAAGAGGAAGGTTCACTAGGGCTATGCTAAAGGTTAGAAAGTAGGGGAGGAGGAAATGGTGCCAGCCTTATTATATGTGGAAAGGATGATTCAACAGGTCATGGGCTGTCTAGTTAATCATAATACTAAATGAACCTCTTATCTCCATTACTTCTGATTTGAAAGTGTGCTAAATACTTTTAGCAAAGCAGATGTGCAATCTCACCTTTCCCTGTCAAAAAACAGAGGGTATTCAAACTTCTGCTTTTTATCCATAAACTTGGATTCTTCTTTTATTGTGAATGGAATTTCATTTACATCACAGGGCAAAATTATATCGGAAGATTCAGTAATTTCAAACACTCTGCGCTGTCCAAAATAGCCAAAGTAGACTCCACGAATTGAATGCCAAAGTCTATTAAAGAAATCCAACCAAGAAATATTTTTAAAATATTGTCAGTATAAAAAGAGATTGGCGGCAATGATATGGAGAGGCTTCAAATAATATTATGAAAAATACTAATCAAGTACAATCGGCATTATAATAATTTTTAATGGAGTACCTTTCAGGCAATACATTAATAGTTGACAATTCAGGTCAATATAAGTAATTGCCAAGATGGCAACTGTAATGTTTCATCAGCTACCCTTTGGTAACAATTGGCTCACAGAAAAAGATTATGGGATATGCTTGCCTGGAACACCAACTCTAAGTAAGACCTGACCTAAACATTTTCCCTTTGTCTTCCTCTTGTTCTTCTTTTTTTAAAAAAAATATATTTTAGCCATCTTTCACTAGTGGCCATCTTTTTATGGTGGTGGCTAACTTGCCATCAGGAGAGGCCAACATTGCCAAATTCTCAGAGTCCCAAGCTCCATTAATAGGATGCATGGTCAGCTCCAAAACTGATAGGCACTTAGTAAAGAACTATCTAGGCTGGTTAATACTGGGATTGAAAGCCTCAGACAAGAAACGTTCAAATCAGCGGCAACAGCTAAATATAACTAACCTGACAGAACCATCCGTGGATGCAGTCACCACTAGGCATTTTTCATCATCACAAAACAGGCTGACTATTTTAGCTGAATGAGCCCGCCAACAAATTTGTTGCTTTACATGCTGCAAAAAATGTAAGTTAACATGAGCTGTCTTCATGTGCACAATTAAGTCAGAATTCTTAACACTTTAAAAAGGCACGGTGGCCAGATTCAGACACAGCTAAGTCTCAGTAGGTGATTCTCACATCATGGCAAGCCAAAAGTGGACAAGATACATTATGTCTTAATTGTATATACCATATTTTTCGGAGTATAAGACGCACCGGAGTATAAGACGCAGCTTAGTTTTTGGGGAGGAAAATGGGGGGGGGGAATCTGCCTACCAGGTATTCATCTGGCTAGCGTCCTTAGTCTGGTCAGCTTAGTTTGGTCAGCACATTAGTTTTCTGGTTTTTTATCCCCTGCATGGGGATAAAAAACAGCTTCTAAGGCACAGCTGAGAGGAAGCAGCAATGAGAAAAGCAGGCAAGGCACAGGGAGATCGCTTCACTCGGCTAGCACCTAGTTAGGGCTGAAAAAAAGCTTCTAAAGAACAGCTGAGAGTTGGAGCAAAGCATGGAGATCGCTTCACTTACTAGTGCCTTGTTAAAGCACAGCGGAGAGTCGAGGGAGCAGGCAAAGCTGGGAAGATGGCTTCACTCGCGCCTCATTAGTGCCTCGTTAGGGCTGGAAAAAAGCTTTGAAAAAGCTACATTTGGAATATAAGATGCACCCAAATTTTCAGCCTCTTTTAGGGGGAAAAAGGTGCGTCTTATACTCCGAAAAATGTGTGAGGCAGTCTACAATTCCAGATAGTCTGGGGACTATTGATGGGTAATTGGAAATTATAATGTCTACACAGTTGAAATTTAAAGAACAGGTTGCGAAAAAAGGTATGAAGACTCAAATCCTAGCTTTTATATGAGAACTTAAGCACATTCAAATTGTTAATTTGATATGGAAACTGAAAACTGAGATAACAATGGCTAAGCGATGCAGGCATGTGATATCAAACTTTCCCAATTGCCATTCTTAAGCAAGGACTACCTGTTTGCATTTGCTTTTGTTAAACTTTGTTGCTTTGTACCTATTCATTTATTAACATTCTTTACATTTTATTTCTGCCTTCTTAGCAGTCTTTTGAATTATTTGCAAATTTAATAAACATTCATCTCTTCATTGTCATTAAAAATGCTGATATGTAAAAGCCTGTGAATGATCTTGTGACAATCACATAATTAATAGTTTCATGCCAGTATCTAATAGCATTATTTTTAATAATTCTTAGATTATTAGTATACTAATCCAAATTAATAATCCAATTTTAATTTATAAATACCAGATTTTTAAACATTTTAATAACTTCAAATGTGAATTTAGCAGCTTTGGGAAATAAAAATTCTGCATGTAAGCCATATTGAAAATAATTCTCATTCCCACAGATGTTTCTTGAATTAAACAAATCATTAACTTTCTTATGTTTCACTTACTTTCAGTGTTTAAATTAAATCTATATGTAACATACATAAGCAAAGAACATGGATGATGTGTGAACTGGAGGATGGGAGACATTATTTTACATTTTGCTCACCCTGTTTGGCTCTTTTTGATCTTCCAGGAATGAGCCAATATTCCATCGAATAACATTTCCCTCTGTAAGACAAATCATCGATTAAAAAATTAGAACTTTTTCATAATACAGAATTGGCCAAGGGCTGTCCCTAAAATAATCCTGTAAATTAAGAAACAGTGGAATAGGTATCAAGTGAACAATGATATTTTATGATTCAAACAGGGTCTCTTGATGGCTGTTTTGTTCTGACTAAAGAAGACATCTTAATATAAATTATTTTTATATCACAGAAACCCATTTTTCTAATTTAAAACAGTGTTTAAGGCTATAAACACGTTTTCATTTTACCAAAATCTTGCTTAGATTACTATGAAAAACAGATTCAGCAACTACTGCCATCAACCTGGAATCTTGCTATTATCTTACACACTGTAATGCTGTATGTATCATCTTACACAGTCTTGCCAGGCATGGCAATACATCTCATTTCCCCACTTTCCTTTGAGAAATTTGCTTAGATCAGAAGTTCTTAGACTCCATATATCTGGATAAGTTGCTTTACTGAAGATAAGAAATAAGTCATATAGATGCAGAAGGTCTGCTTCAGTGGTAGGATTCAAAAACTTTTTTACTACCGGTTCTATGGGCGTGGCTTGGTGGGCGTGGCAGGGGAAGGATACTGTAAAATCCCCATTCCCTCCCCATTCTAGGGGAAGGTTACTGCAAAATTCCCATTTCCTCCCAATCAGCTGTGACTTGGGTGGCAGGGAATAGATGGGGCCGGGGCCAGTCAGAGGTGGTATTTACCGGTTCTCTGAACTACTCAAAAATTCCGCTACCGGTTCTCCAGAACTGGTCAGAACCTGCTGAATACCACCTCTGGTCTGCTTCCTGCAGAAGTCTATTTCAGGGTTTAAATTCCAGGCCTTTCCCTTCAGTCTTTATGAGTCAAATTGAAATTTGGTTCTTCTCTTCTCAGCCCTTAAAACTGGGAGACAATGGCATGGTGTTTATACAAAGGTTCTGTCTAGTCTGAGAGGGCCTGATTTTTGCCTCATCAGCTTAATCTTTTGCATATAGTTTCTTGCAGTTAGGTATATTATATTTTTACACACATGATTTATTTATTTAGAAAGTCTATATACCTACTGTTTTAACAATTCAGGGTGGATTACAGACACATTTAGAAAAAAACATTCAGTTGTACATTAAGATATAACTGATATAATAGTAACATTCAAAAGCCTAGAAAAGTACTTATTTATTTTATTTATTTAACAAATTTATATAGCCCCCCCATCTATACTGTATGACAATCATACTGAGCAATAAAGCTTACCTTTATTAGCAGCAAAAAGCATTTTGGCAGCCCCATCAGCACAAAGTGCCGTCAAAGGAATTGGAGGATGTTTTGTGTAAGGCAGAATTTCTTTCAGTAGATCTCCCTTTACAAAGAGAAATACAATCACACTTTAACAAATCAGAATTTTCTGCAGTTAGGACTTGAGGATTGCATGAGTCATACCCATTTACCTACCTAACAAAAAACATATTTTGTTTTATCCATTAAATTGGCTTGCAGCAAACCCTTATGCCTACTTCTTTCTAAGTAACTTATACTGTACTCAGTGTACTGCACTGGGTTCATGCCTCACACTAAGCTAAAGCTTTTTTTTTTTTTAATTTGATTTATATGCCGCCCTTCTCCGGAGACTCAGGGCGGCTTACAATGTGCTCAGCAATAGCCTTCATCCTTTTGTATATTTATACAAAGTCAGCTTATTGCCCCCACAACTGGGTCCTCAATTTACCTACCTTAGAAAGGATGGAAGGCTGAGTCAACCTTGAGCCTTGGCGAGATTCGAACCTGCAGTAATTGCAGGCAGCTGGTCTTAATAACCAGCTTAATAACAGGGTGCCTTAGACCACTGTACTACCAAGGCTCTTTTAAAACAACATTTGTTGTTCGAGTGGAAAGGTCTGATTTGCACATTAGACATAAACTACTGTTCACTAACAAAAATGCTGGGTTCATGTATGTCATGGCCAGCTCAGACTCTGGTGAGGATGCCAACAATGAGCACCCGATTCCTGTGTCGCTGTCAGATAACCAGGAGGCAGCTGCCATCAATCTCTGAAGACAAGGAATCTGAGCTGCTACCGGTACTTGCTCCCAGTGCAAGGGTTCGCCATGCAAATAGGAGAGCAAAGGTGCTCGGCAAGGACCCTCACAAGAAAGGACCCGGACCAGAGGTGGGTTTTAGCAGGTTCTGATCAGTTCTGGAGAACCGGTAGGGGAAATTTTGAGTAGTTTGGAGAACCAGTAGTAAAAATTCTTACTGGCCCTGCCCCCATCTATTCTCTGCCTCCCAATTCCCAGCTGATTGGGAGGAAATGGGGATTTTGCAGTAACCTTCCCCTGGGGTGGGGTGGGAATGGAGATTTTACAGTATCCGTTCCCTGGAATGGGGTGGGAATGGAGATTTTACAGTATCCTTCCCCTTCCATGCCCACCAAGCCACGTCCACCAAGCCACATCCACAGGACCTGTAGTAAAAAATTTTGAAACCCACCACTGACCTGGACCCCTTTCAAGTGAGCAATGCTGGGCTTGCTTCAATGAAAGAAGAGCATCCAGCTGAAGCCTCCTTATTGGCAACACCTGTCTGGTTACCCAGACTTTGTATGCCTTGTCTCCTGACTTCACTTGACCACTCATGGGCCCGCTGTTTTGGATTTGGAATTCTCTTAAGGCAAGCTTGCTAGATATTTGAGTTGATTTCTCTAGTGTCTACATGGGTGTTTGCACTGACATTTCCTTTGCTACGTGTTCATTCGTTTCACAGACTTCTCCGTTAAGTTTGGAAGCACCTCCCTATGTGTTTGCAAGTGTGTGGCCTGAGACAGGGCAACATTACATCACTTTAAGATAAAGCCAAATGAACCACCAGTGGCATAGAAAGAAGTGAATAATTTTATGTGTTTGGGGGACAACAGAAAAATAGGAAAATATGGAAGATGTAGAAACGTCTTTTGACTGGATGGAAACGTAACTGAAACTCTTCTTTGCTACTTCACTACTTTAGTCTAGTTCCATAAAAGGACTTACCGTAATGCTCCATAGATAAATGTAGCCATCTTCATGTGCTGAGGCTAGTATGGGTATAGAATGATAATCATGTTTTTCAACTGATAATAGATTGGGTATTGCTCCTTTGCTTGTGGAAGAATCTGGAAACTTTGTTTCTAAAGCAGAAGATAATTCATCAACCAAACAGTATTCATATTTTCCTTTCCTTGAACATAACTTGTTTCTCATGTTCTATCATGACATGTATTAGCATACTCTATTTCCACTATTCACTTAAATTTTATTGAAATAAAATCCATCAAGAATGTTATTACATAAATAATCAAGTCTCTATCAAGTTGACTTCATGGAAAGACTTGAAACTTAATCTTATTGACCCCATGAAGTCAACAACATGTTGGCAACAACATGAAAACAACATGCCATTGCTTTCTTTCCAGATATTTTTTTCAACTTCTCATTTTTCTAGTGATTTTCCATTTAATCAATTCCAACTCTGTGAAGCTTTTCAAAATCAAGGTTAAGATGTGTGTTATGAAATAAATTCTTCAAATTTTTCTCTTTGGAATTCATGTAGACCTTGTGGAAATTATTCCTTTGCTTCCTGAAGGGGAAAAATGTGGAGGTTGTTTTTTTTCTGAAACAGAACATGATTCAACAAACAATATTCATGCTTTTCTTTCTTTGAACGATTTGTCATGTCATATCATTGATTTATTAATGTATCTATGTCCACCTTTCAAGCACTTCAGTGCTTCTGATACAGACGTATTAATTGCAATTTTCCTTGTCTGTCATTGAAGTAACCTCAAATAAACTAGCTGTTGCAGTTTTTTAAAAGAGGTTCTGAAACATACTCTCAAAAATGCAGCTTATTGTCTAAAGGAACTAAAATTATTCTGATTCATACCTGAAAGAGTTGTGCCAGCAGAGTCTCTTATGACACTATTCTGAAATCAAACAACAGAAATTTAGAAAGTAGGTTTTTTTCAACCAAATTCAAACTTAATTTAATCCTGCTGATTACTTTCAGTAAAAAAAACACCATCTTTTTAAACATGTTCTCATAATTAAATAAAACATGAATTTTTCAGAATATGTGCACAAGATGGGGTGAATGCTCTTCTAGCCTGCATTAAAGGGCTTTGAGAATTTAAAATGCCCCAAATAATTACACCCCCAAATTCAGACAAAATCCAAAATCCCATGTGCTTACTAAAGTTCTCAATATGAAATACAGCAGTCCAATGCACCTTCTGCTGCTCATTTCTTTAAAGAATTATACCAACCAGTCATCTCATTTCATTTTTGGGAACAGTAGGTAATAATGCTACCAGCAGAGAAAATAATACAGAAGTAATGCTGAACTTTAGGCTAATACAAATTATTTTACCCTATTCTCTATCGAAGTAAAATAAAAGCTTCACTTTCCTACTCTCTTCTACACAATGGATGGGAAGGTTTGTATGAAGCTTGAACTCCTGTTTCCAGCAGATCTATTCCTGTACTTGGTTGTTGCTTGAAAAGTACAGGTCCTTAGGAAGTTTCAGTTTATATTCTATTTCTGCTGCTTCTAAGAATTATTCCAACCAGTGGTGGGTTTCAAATTTTCTACTACCGGTTCTGTGGGTGTGGCTTGGTGGGCATGGCAGGGTAAGGATACTGTAAAATCTCCATTCCCACCCCACTCCAGGGGAAGGTTACTGCAAAATCCCCATTTCCTCCTGATCACCTGGGACTCAGGAGGCAGAGAATAGATGAGGGTGGGGCCAGTCAGAGGTGGTATTTACCAGGTCTCTAAACTACTCAAAATTTCCACTACCGGTTCTCCAGAACTGGTCAGAACCTGCTGAAACCCACCTCTGATTCCAACCCTATATTTATTTTTATCTGCATGCTTCATCATGATAAATTGCATGTAAGTTTTTTTTTATTTGTTATCTGATTTTTCTAGAGCTATTTCATTTGGGGCTTTGTCCAATTTTGTCTAACAGTTTAAATTTTTTAATTTCCAAAATTTCATAAACAGTTATTCAGTTGTGATGAAAAGGAAACTATGGCATATTAGAGATACCCTGATTTAGTTGAGGAATATTATTGCCATGAGAAAATTCTCCCCGAGTTTAAGCTCAGCGTTCAGTTTGCATGCAGTTGCTATTGCAGCTACCATTTTCAGATAATTTTAATTGTTTTTCCCCCTTATGCATATGTCCACAGATGCCAGAACAGAGTCCATAGAGGTTGGATTAGAATACTCAGAAAATGTACGCTTGGATGAAATCACCTCAAGAAAATATAAGAAAGTGCAATAACAAATCTTTCATAATCTTTCATATTCACAGCAGGCTTTGTTAAAATTATGAACCATCAAGTTAGTATTGATTCTTAAATGACCACATACATTTTGTCTATCTATCTGTCCATAACCTATCATTCAGGCCTTCCAACAATTCATTTCCAATGATGTAAATAAGTCCATTCACCTTTTCTTCTTTTTCCTTCTACCTTTCCCAACATTAGAGTATACTACAGAGAACGTAGTTTTTGCATAATGTGTCTATAGTAGGACAATTTTAGCTTGATCATTTGTGACTTGAGTGAGAGATTTGGATTGATTCGTTCAACGATCCATTGTTTTCTTGGCTGTCTCCGAGTCTTTTCCAATACCAAAGATCAAATGCATTGATATTCTACCTACCCTACTTCTATCCAACCTTTGCTCCTATAGAGTCACAGAGAATACCATGTCTTGCACTATATTGATTTTTATCAGTACAGACACATCACAAGATTTCCAAGGCCTTCATGGCTGCTCTATCAGGTCCTAGAGTGTAACATTTCTAGACTGCTTGTTCCTTTACTGTCATGGTAAATCAATAATTCCATTGTCAATTTTAAGGCTGGTTGTACCTGCTGTCATTAGCTATTCATAGTCACCTTGAGTAGTGAGATGGGCAATAAATAAATTTGATGATAATAATAATAATAACAATCTCCTTTGTATTTAATTTTAATCACATTTTTTTCATGTGCTCCTTGATTTATATTGCAGATTCTTTTCATTTTTAGCTTTCGGGTAGTGTCATCGACAGCTAGGCTATTGGTATTTCTTCCTCCAGCTTTAAAAACCATGCTCATCTTTTTCCAATCCGGCTTCTTTTGATATATATATATCATATAGGTTGAGTAAGTAAGGTGAAAATATAGCTTTGTTGCACTCTTTTGCCAGTGGTGAAATCCAAAATTTTTTACTACCAGTTTGTGGGCATGGCTTGGCGGGCATGGTGTGGCTTGGTGGACATGGCTTGGGCATGGCAGGGGAAGGATATTGCAAAATCTCCATTCCCACCCCACTCGGGGGCCAGCCAGAGGTGTATTTGCTGGTTATCTGAACTACTCAAAATTTCCGCTACCGGTTCTCCGAACTGCTCAAAATTTCTGCTACCAGTTCTCCAGAACCTGTCAGAACCTGCTGGATTTCACCCCTGTCTTTTGCCAACCTGAAGCCATGTTTTATCCAGACTGGCTCCCTGACCTGCATATAAGCTTCTTATGAGAATAATAAGCTGTTCTGCAATTGTCATTTGTTCTATTCTAGAACCTGACATGGTTGCTACAATTGAAGGCCTTTGTATAATCAATGAAGCACATAGTCATTTATTTTTGGTATTTGACTTTCTCAAACATCCAGCATGGATCAGCATAGCCCATGTGCATCACCAATAATTTATTACTTTATTACTTTATTAAGATCAATCCAAATATCTCAGACAAGTGCAGAAGATTTTTGGTATGCTTTGAACCTTCATCATGATTAACAGTAAATGAAATAAAGACAAAAGAGCTGGCTCAATCTTAAAGCCATAAAAATCTATATTTAGTCACACTCTGCCTGAGGACAGCATGCACTCTCCTTGTCTTCTGGCATACTTTTGCTTCTATTTTCAGCTAACAGTGACTTCTTGTTAAGTGCAATCTCAGAATGGTGGTTTAAGGTAGCTGATAGTCTGCAGTTTTGCTGAAATTTTGAGACACAGGCAGTCTTTCTTTCTTTCTTTCTTTCTTTCTTTCTTTCTTTCTTTCTTTCTTTCTTTCTTTCTTTCTTTCTTCCTTCCTTCCTTCCTTCCTTCCTTCCTTCCTTCCTTCCTTCCTTCCTTCCTTCCTTCCTTTTCATATTTATTTATTAAATTTATTTGCTGCCCATCTTGCTGTGGGGGGGCATTCTGGGCAGCTTACAACAGTAGAATATAAAATTATAAACAAATGTAAAAATAATAAGAATAGGAACAATGAAACAATTAAAAAAATAATGAAAATACAGGGAGTCCTTGACTTACAACAGTTGACAGTGACCATTTAAAGTTACAATGGCACTGAATAAAGTGACTTATCACCATTTTTCACACTTATGACCATTACAGCATTGCCACAGTCACGTGATTTACATTTGGATGCTTGACGACTGACTCACATTTATGAGTGTTGCAGTGACCCAGGGTCATATGATCCCCTTTTGCGACCTTCTGAGAAGCTAAGTTAATGGGGAAATCAGATTCAGTCAATAACCATGTTACTAATATAAGAACTATATTAGTAACACACGTGAGTTATAGTGGGTGCACCTAGATACACCCACATCACACCAATTCTCAACGAGCTGCACTGGCTCCCTATCAGTCTCCAGGCGCAATTCAAGGTGTTGGTTATTATCTTTAAAGCCCTACATGCATGGCTCAGGGCCAGGCTATCTTCGAGACCGCCTTCTACCACATAGCTCCTAGCGACCGGTAAGATCCCACAGAGTCGGTCTCCTCCAGGTCCCATCAGCTAAACAATGTCAGCTGGCGGGCCCACGGGGGAGGGCCTTCTCTGTGGCTGCCCCGGCTCTCTGGAACCAATTACCTCCTGAAGTCTGGACTGCTTCCACCCTATTGGCCTTCCACAAAGCTGTGAAGACCTGGCTCATCCGGTAGGCCTGGGGCCGTTGATCTCGTTATAGTGATCTTGTGAGACCTGGCCACAAATTGGAGTGTATGTGTTTTAACGTTTTAATGTTTTAATGTTTTGATGTTTTAATGTCTTCTTTTAACTTTTGTATGGGATATTGTTGCATTGTTTTATTCTCTGTTGTAAGCCGCCCAGAGTCCCTTGGGAGTGGGGCGGCATAGAAATGCGACAAAATAAATAAATAATAAATAACTGTGGTGATTCACTAAACAGATGTGGCAAGAAAAGTCATAAAACGGGGCAAAACTCACTTACAAAATTTCTCACTTAGCAACATAAATTTTGGGCTCAATTGTCATCATAAATTGAGGAATATCTGTACAACAATATGAATTAAAAGATGGGCAGGAAAGGAGTAGGAAGCCCAGGGGGGAAGATGGGGGTCTGCTATTAGTCTAATAGCCACCTCCAGTTTGGTATTCCCCCATGGAGTCTTCAAGCCTGGTGCAAGTCTTCAGACTCTTACGGAAAGAAACCATGCCTTGAAATTACACTGCTTCTCTATACCATGGTTAAAATTAATCATCATTTGTGCGGATTTAGTCATTTGTGGTAAATCACATATACCAGTGATGGCTAACCTTTTCAGGACCGAGTGCCCAAAGTGTGCGCGCGTGCCTGAACCCCCAAAATGCAATGCATGCACGGCCCCGCGCATGCCCCCCATGCATGGGTGCACGACCCCCATACACACCTCACCCCATGCATGTATGTGTGGTCCCTTGCACATGCCTCACCCCGTGCATGCGTGTGCACCCCCTGCATGTGCCCTGCCCTCCCATGCATGTGCGTGTGCCCCCTGCATGCCCCCCATCGCCATATGCACGCGTGGGCCCCCACACATGCCCTACTCCCCATGCATGCATGTGCGCCCCACATGTGCCCTGCCCCCGCAAATGTGCACATGTCCCTATGCATGCCCACCATCCCCTGCACATGCTCGGCAGAGACCCGATGACCTGCTGGCCGGCAGGAGGCGCGCATGCACAGCAGAGCCGAACTGGGGCAATGGTTCGCATGCCCACAGAGAGGGAGCTGCGTGCCACCTGTGGCACATGTGCCATAGGTTTGCCACCATGGACATATACTAAACTATGGATTATTTTAACCATGATTTGTGGAACAAACAAAGGCTATATTATATATAACTCTAAAGTATGATTTACAAACCATGAATCATGGCTCATGAAGGATACTAATTTATTATGATTTGGCTATTTTAATACCTAATTATGCTATAAGAATGGCTTGCAATCACTTTTTGAATTCGTGACCATAGTTTTTACTTGTGGACCAGCTTTTTTAACAAATTATGCCCCTCCTTCCAAAAAAATAACATCTTCAACAATTATTTTTTACCATTCTCCCTTCCAAAAAGGAACATACCAGCTTTAACATTGAAACATTCTCTTCTGCTTCCTGTGTAGGAATATCTTCACCCTGTGCTTCTGAGTAGGAGGAACATTCACTTGTTTGCCTGCATGGAAAATAAAATCCAAAAGGCTCAGTGTCTGAAAATACTGAGAATATTTTTGCTCCTGGGGAGGAAAGCTATGGCAAAGTTAGACAGCATACTAAAAAGCAGAAACATCAGCCTGCCAACAAAAGTGCGTATAGTCAAGGCTATGGTTTTCCCAGTTGAAATGTATGACTGTGAAAGTTGGACCATAAGGAAGGCTGAGCGCCAAAGAATTGAGGCCTTTGAACTATGGTGCTGGAGTAGACTCCTGTGAATCCCTTGGACTGCAAGGCGATCAAACCGGTCAGTCCTGGAAGAGATCAACCCTGACTGCTCTTTAAAAGGCCAGATCCTGAAGATGAAACTCAAATACTTTGGCCACCTAATGAGAAGGAAGGACTCACTGGAGAAGAGCCTAATGCTGGGAACAATTGAGGGCAAAAGAAGAAGGGGACGACAGAGAATGAGGTGGCTGGATGGAGTCACTGAAGCAGTTGGCGTGAGCTTAAATGATCTCCGGGGGATTGTAGAGGACAGGAAGGCCTGGAGGAAAGTTGTCCATGGGGTTGCAATGGGTCAGACACGACTTTGCAACTAACAACAACAATAAAGCCTACTTTGGTTTGTTTGTTTGTTTTTTGCTTTCCCCCCAGTAAACTTACCACAAAGGCTCGTTTTAAAGTCAGAATGATAGGTTTCTAAAAGTTTTTTTAAAAAAAATAAGTATAAATAGCAAATATTTGGAGTGAAAGGGGAATTGAAGTCACTATTTTAATCATTCAGAATTTGAGTAATATCAGTGACAGCCTCAGATGCATATATCTGGGCTGTAAATTAAAGAGCAAAGGAGTTTGATGGTAGACAGAAATGATGCAAAAAGTGAACAAACACTGAGATTTGTGGTGCAGGTTCATGTCTGTCATACGATGTGCAGTTCTTTAGCTAATAATTGATGAAGGAGTGAAGATGAGAAATAAAATTGATTGTATATTGCGATTTACTGTATACTTCGAGAATGGTTCAATACTGAATGGGGAATAAGATAGAGATGTGTTGTTCTTTTCACTGTTTAAGAGATTTATAGCTGTATAAAGAATGCTTATTGCACTTCAGAACACTCATTGTTTTTATATACATATGATATCATGTTGTTTGCAATGAATGTTAGGCAGATTATACGATACCAAAGGGACATACATCTGAAAATTAATGAATCAAAGACCAAGGTACTTTTGTTTGAGGGAGAAAATGGAATGAGTTACTTGCAAAGTATAAATCTGAAAAAATGGAGTCAATAGATGAATTTGTGAACTTAATAGTGTTTCCTAAAAATAGGAAAATTGATGAATTCTAAGATATGGGAATGCTGGTAGAAAAGTAATAGGGAATATGTGTCTGTTTTTAACAAACTGGATGTCTTTAAAAAAGCAAAAATAGCTGTTTATAAGAATATACATCTGCCACTTTGTAACATGGAATGGAAAATTTGGTATGTTAGAAGAAACAAAAGTTAAATTGAAATGCAGTCAAAGATGTGTGGGTGATAAAGTAAGAATGAATGGGTGCTGAATGAATCTGAATGGAACACAAGAATAACTGACAAGTATGTAAGAAGTTTGTTGGAGTGATTTGATCATGTAGCGAGAATTAAGAATTAAATTGAAAAACAAATCTAGATAGGAAGAGTGAATGAGTTAACTGATCAAGAGGGAGACAGTGAAAGTTGTCTGGATAAAGTTCATGAGATTCTGAAAGACAAAGCCATGAGAAGACAATGTATGAACGGAAGTATGACATGGTGGAACCAAGGATGGTTTGCAAAGATAGAAAATATGGAGAAGTTCAGTGATTTGTATACATGGAAACTGGTTTGGGCTAGTTTTGTCTTTTTTTAACCTAATAATTTTAAATTTTCTGGCGTACTGTTTTTAGTCCATTTTTTGCACTCTGAATTAACATTGTTAACTAAGAAATAGTATGAGAGATCCATAAGTATGCATATAAGAACGGGTCTAGGACAACTCACCATAGCCAAGTTGCCATGGGGCAACTAAATGTTTTATTAATCATTTCATTTAGTTACTTTTATTATTGGTGACCATATTTTCATCGAAATTTTTGTAACTTGTATTTCCGGATTGATTTTCTTTCTTTTATTATTATTGGCCACAGTTCCATTGAAATTAATTTAACTTCTATATTTGTTGAATTGTCCTGTGGCAAGTTGTTCCATATCGAGTTGGCCGTTGCAAGTTGTCCTATTCCGTGTAAGAACATGCAGAGTAACTTTTTCCCTTAGCAAGCAGTGGCCATTAATAGTGAAAATCTGAACTGACTGATGGGGATCAAATTTGGCTATCCAATATCATATTCTGCCTACTAATTCTTGTTACAAGAAGCAATGCTCAAGTAACAAAGGAATGTAGAGATGTCTACACTCTCTTAAGACTACTAAACAACTTCAGATAACTAGGAATTTAACAGAATCTGATGATTCAAATATAGTTTCCCCCCCTCCCCACTTTATTGAAAGGAAAAGTAGTACAGCTTCTTAGCCCAGCTAACATAATGTATACATGTTTCATAAAGAACTGACTTACCTCTGAGAGATAATACCTCGATACAGGAATAGTAACCCATTGATTTTAAGTAATTCAGATCTACCTGAGTGAATAGCGAGCCGAACTTTGAACCTGAAAATGAAGATACTTTGCCTGTAGTTTTTTCCACATGTCAGAGTTTAGGCAGCGTAACTAGTATTATGAGATAAACCCAGGAGCAAAACACAGCACACAGCACGCAAAGCCTTTTATATAAATAACAGTGGTTTTATCTACAGTTAAATATTTACAGACTTATACATGGTTAAATATCTTTATCATACAGCTACTGATACACGGAGAGCAATTGAGATACACGACGAGAGAATATGAGTATAATGCATGAGGAGAAACACCCTTTAATGCCTTCCCTTATATAGGCAGGTTCTAACCCAGCTTCTAAAAGTGGCAGTAACTCTGCTGCCTCATTACATTGCATCAGCTTCTGGCTGCCTCCGCTTACAGCTTCCCATCAGCTTACAGCTATTAATACTTTACACCCTGACACCACATTTATTAGATATATTGTTAAATAGTATTATCTTTCCTCCCTCAAAGTATGGCCAGAATAATTATACATTTTAAAGACTTTGTAAGTTGGTTTCATATTTTCAAATTCATGCAATTACAGTTTTAAAATGATAGTGCAAATAATTGTCTCATCTCAGAAATTCATAGACTGCCATTGTAGAATTCCCCTAGAGCCATGATGGCGAACCTATGGCATGTGTGCCACATGTGGCACGCGTAGCCATATCAGTGGCCATGTGAGTTCAGCATGGAATTATGGGTGTGGGCACGCACGTGTGCAACCCTCCCGCCCCCCTTCCTGGCACGCGATGGCAAAAAGGTTAGCCATTACTGCCCTAAAGTGAAAATCTCCAATTAAAACTAAGTGAATTAATGCTTTATGCTACTAAATCTCCAAATTTGGCATTTCAATAATACATAGACCTTCAGTGAACTCAATAAAATCTGCCTAAACTACAAATACCTACTTCTGCAAAAATCTTGCTTGTGCTTGGGATAACTTTTTTATGCTGCTTAAAATCCCATAATTCTAAGAACGAGCTCTTCTGACTTAAAAACACCCACCCACCCACGCACTCAACTGTGTTTTGGGATTGGTTTTCAAAAGAAGACATTTGCTTTGGGGGCTATCAATTTATCTCTCTTTCGAAGCTTTGCTTTCTTAGCCAGGGGATAAGAATTATTCATCCACTTTAGTAGGAGGGAAGCAAACTCAATTAGCATTTCCAAGAGACTTTCAACATGAAGAAGATTAAAAGCAAAACTGGTGAAGAAATAAGGGCATGGTACTGTCTGGAATCCATTCTTTGTATAAATATTGTTTGAAGCAGAGAAGAATGAAGCCGCAAATAAATTATATACAGGTACCGTAGTTCCAGGAGAAATGGTTTTGAAGTGCAGCTAAATAGGGTACAGAAAGCCAAAGTTATTTCTTCTGCCTTTAGTGCAGAATTTTAAAATATGCTCAAGGGAACAATTCCACTGAAACTCTTGGAGATGGAAAACACAGCTATTTGTTATACTGCAGCAAAACTAACCAACAGCCTAGAATTTTTTTCACCCTTCTGAACAAGCAAGAACAGGATAATTGGCATAGTGGCTCTGCCCAAGTGAACTAAGCCTGAATGGAGGCAAATACATTGCTGAACCACACTGCCCTTTACTGAGTCAAAATTCCCTCCTCTATGCATCTCACCCATTCAGTGCCATTTGTCTGTGACCCAGGTTATGCACAGGAGACAATAATTGAGATCCTCCTTCTGACAGTGCATTTTTTTACCACTCACACTGGGGAGAGACAGCTGAAGAACGTCTCCTGGCTCTAGTCTTGAAATACAGGTCATGTATGGTGAGACTGTGTTGACACAAAATGGCCGATTATCTCAGGGAAATGACTCAGCCCTGGATGCTTCCAGGGTTGCCTCAGTCAAAGAGAAAAAAGCCATGTTTGAAAGTCCTTAGCAGCAGAGAGAGTTGGGAAAATTTTATCTCCTTTTTCTGCTTCTTTTTCACTCCCACCCCATATACTCATATGGGACTAGTATTAAAAGTACATTAATAAGTGAGAGGGAGTTCCTAGATCAGTCCTCCTTTGTCTAGTTTGTTTCCAAGCCAGAGGTAGAATGAAAAAAAAATCTGTAAATCTTCTTCTCTTTTCAAAATATGGTTGATTTGGGAAAGAGAACTTAACCCAAGTCAACCTTGGGCCGTTTTGTCTAAGACCAAATTAATTAGTTTATATTGACCAGATGATACCATAGCTTCATTCATGACTCAAGTAAGCATATCATTATGAACAGAATTTTGGGGGATTTACCAATAATCAATCAAGAAGTTTGTCTCTGTGTTCCTGTAGCTTATTCCTAGTTTAATACTTCTATTTCTCCTTTTCTCACATTGGGAATTGTTTTGAGACTGAACACTAAAACAGCATTTATCTTGGATGACTGGACATTAGCACTGCCTCTCCACATCTATTATATGATAAAGTGTTTTACTTACATGTGTCTGGCTGTGGCAGTTTCAAAATCCCACATGATGATAGAACCATTTGCACTTGCAGTAGCTAACAAACTGTAACCTTCTACTTTTAACAAATCAAAGCACTTCACTTCAATCCTAGGAGGTAGCTGAAAAATACACAAAGCAAAGCATCTGAAGGACATTGATTGGAAAAGAATAGCTGACCAGAACAGATGGACAATCAAAGACAAACAACACAGAGAAAGGCAATCAAGAGCTTCACAATTCTTTCCAACAATCTTTGTTGATATCCAGATGAATTTATAGAAAGCAAAAATTCGTTTTTTTACTGTTTACTTTTGCTGTGGACCTCAGACACAAATTACTTTCTTAGAATTATTTTTTCTTTTTTCATGTTTTCTAGAACATATCTAGAAATACAATAGTTCCTCACCTCTGCATTTGTGTTTGTGAGATCTGTATCAAGCAGTAGTTGAACATCTGGGAAAAAGCCATTATTTTTTTTGACATTGGGAGACAGTTTTAGGGAGATGAGTGGGTAGCCTTGTAAAGCAAATGACACAGCTTCAGGAAGTTCCCAAGTTATGGACATGTAAACTTCACCTTGATTAGCCTAGTTGAACAAGGAATTGAAGATTAATTGACAATCAATCTGTTAAAATTTCTAGCTTTGTAAGTTACTTTGCATATTATATACATATTTATGTTAGAGCATTTGTCCCAAGATTAGCAGTAAATGCTATGAACAGTTATACATCTGGACATTTCACGCAGAGTTACCGTTGGGGAGATGGACTCACTTCAAATCAATCATTTATGTAGAATACTTTGATAGTTTTAAAACTGAGATGAGTTTGAGGGCTGCACAACACATTGCTATCATTATCAAAGTCTTTAAGTTTCTGATCAGCACAAATAGTCATGATCAACCAGCAGTATGTCAGAAACTGAATGCAGCATTGGTTAGAAATGTAAGGGGATGCAATCCAAGAGGCAGTTCTGAGCTCAACAAGCTTTTGAGGCTTAATTAATTAAATCAACTCTAACATAATGTCTTCAGGACAAATGACTGAAGTAAACATCTGGTGAAAAACATGTTTCTAGAGTCTGTTCTAAAAGGCCTAAATTAGATTATTAAAAAGATAATTCCCAATAAAAATACCGGTCCTAATATTTAGGAAACATTTTGTGTTCTCATTTAATAGGTAGCCACATGGGGATTAAATACATTTAGCATGCCCTTATTACATAAATGATTAGAGACTGAAAATAGTTGTGCATCTTCTTGATACATTATTTCAGGGGCTCCAACATGGTGTATATCTGCACTAAGAACATATAAGGTTCATCTTCTCCTGAGGTTTCAGCAAGTTAAGATCAAATTGTTTTAGTTTAAAAGAGAGCTGTCAGACCTGCCTCAGCTTGAACCTCTAAGAAAGAATGATGCTTAATTCCATTTGTTGAGAAAGGTATAGTTTCCTAGAGGTCAAGTGAAATACAGTAGTGCAAAGCCAGAACTGAAATTCACATGCCAAAATCCTCGAGTCTAACTTCCTTTCCCTTAGGTACCTCCCCATGCTGACCTCCCCAATGCCCAATCAAATTCAAAGATGTTTTCAGAAGGGTTGCTTCAAATGTGAGTTGATGTGCTGCTGTATTCTGTTCTCTGACGTTTGACCTTGAAACCATGTTTCAGGGAGATACAGTGAACTTTTCATTTTCCTGGAATCCTCCCCTCTCCCATCCAATTCCCTAGAGTTCATGGTGGCCTGGCTGTGCTCTGATTGGATGGGGGGTTGGCTGTGCTCTGATTGGATGGGGGTGTGTTCTTTTTGGGGGGGGGTTGGTTGTGCTTGGGTTAGTCTGAGTTGTAGGGGGATTTGAGCTGGTGAGCTGCATTGCTGTTGTTTGGCTTTGCGTTCGTGGTCGTGCCACATCTTCATGGTGGGTGTCAGTCTGCTTCATGTATGGATTGGAGGGGTTTAAAGTGGCTAATGATGCAGCTGTGGTCTGGCTTCTGGTCCGTGGTGCTGGTTACCCGAATAACCAAAGTCATATATATATGTATATGTATATGTATATGTATATGTATATGTATATGTATATGTATATGTATATGTATATGTATATGTATATTATATGTATATGTATGTCTCTTTAGCCAGGTTCTACCTACGTAAACCAAGATATTATGCAGCCCTAGTTCAGTGAAATCACAATTCACTAGTTTCTGGGCTTTTTTTTCCTTTTTCTGGCAGCCAGCAGACCCTTTGCTGCGGGTCTAACTTCTTGTTCAGTGCTACCAGTCGCTGAATGAATGGTCATTAACCAAGGACTACCTGTAAAAGAGATGAAAAAAGTCTTGATGGGATTAAGAGGATTAGAACCAGAAGTCATAAACAGGATATAATCAATAAAGATAAATAGAATAAATATGTAAACCACTTAGATTTGTGGAAATTTAATTATATTCTAATTGCTTGAAAGGGGACTTAATCTTTGATATATTAAAGCTCTAATTCTATACAGATATATTTGAAATATCAGGATGTAAATACTTGAGAGGAAGTATTTCACAGTGCTGATAACTGAGCTCTACAAAGATTCTCTAATTTGGGACTTTCTTGCTATGTTGGGATTACAGCTAACATAATAGCAAACATGGTTGTAGGGTGTTGAAGTCCTAACAAATGTGGAAAGCCATAGTTAAGAGAGACTGGGTTCCTTGACTTTTGAAATTGAGAACAAATGAAGCAAATGAAATGGAAGATGTAACAATCAAAGCTCAAACCTGAACAATTTTGATCATCCCACTGTACTCCAAGACCAGGATCACATGCTTACTCTCACTGGCTTTCAGGTAGACCATCTGCATCAGCCAATGTTCATTGACCGTGATTTCCTTGCCTAAGGGCAAAACTTTAAGTATCTGCCCACTTCCAAAATCCCATAGTTTCACAGTCCCTAAATGTGTAATAAAACAGAAGGAATATCACTCTTCATAGAAATAACTAATAGCTGTGTGCTACTGCAAAGTTTGCCCTTACCTATATGAAATACATGTGGAACAATACCAATTGTGTGAAAAGTCTATTCTCCAATGCTTTACTAAGGGATATTTGCCACTACTGTACATGGTGCACAGACAATGTTATAAGACCAAAAGAATTCTCAACTGATCTTTATTATGAAACTATGGAGCACAGAAAGCATGATTTATTGAACTAACTTTATGGCTCCTTGAAAAATACAGCAAATTATCTTAAAAGGGTTATTTTAGGGACTAATTATTTCATTACCATCACATGCTCCAGTAGCAAGATGAAATCCATTTTTATCAACTGCTGCACATGTCAATTCAACCCCTGGCCCATGAGCATCTTCAATCTGGTATATTAGCTGTCCTGTTTCCAATTCCCAGACCTAAAATTAAAACAGATTGTACGCAATTCAGCAGACTAACTACCAGGGATTCCAAAAATAACCCAAACAGGTATTACTTTTTTTTTTAAAAGTATGTATTAAGACTTAAAATAGAAGACTGAGAAGAACTGATTGAGTTTGAGAAAGGAATACTGAAAATAAGTATTTCAATTTCTCCTTGGTTTAATAGAAAAATTCAGTAATTCTTTTGGGCTTCCAGTTAACTGTTTTCCCCAAATGAAAGAAATGAAATAACTTATTCATCCCGCCTCACCCATCTCTGGGAAAGACAAGTTCCAAAATAGCTTTTAAAATTGCATGTAAGCGTGATAAGAATACCCTAGTTAATGTATTTGTCCAAACTTGGGGGGGGGATTCTTTTGTTTTATAACCATAAGGAAAGGTGGGTTTCAGCAGGTTCTGACCAGTTCTGAAGAACCGGTAGCAGAAATTTTGAGTAGTTCGGAGAACCAGTAAAATACCACCTCTGACTGACCCCACCCCCATCTATTCTCTGCCTCCCTAGTCCCAGCTGATCGGGAGGAAATGGGGACTTTGCAGTATCCTTACCCTGCCACGCCCACCAAGCCATGCCACGCCCACCAAGCCACACCCACAGAACCAGTAGTAAAACATTTTGAATCCCACCACCCATCATTTATGTAGAATACTTTAATAGTTTTAAAACTGAGATGGTTTTGAGGGCTGCACAACACATTGCTATCATCACCGGTAGTAAAAATTTTTGAATCCCACCACTGACCGTAAGGCTCATAAGGCTTATACTCACCTTTACAATAGACTCAGAACAGATACTTAGAACTTGGTGAAAAACTTTATTGTAAACCAGCACGTTGATACTCCTTTCATGGGTCTGGGGGACTTGTTTAGTGTCTTGTATCATCCGAGTGAGAGGATAAATATCGATGACTGCCGATCCTGAGTATTACAGAATTGCATGAAATCTAGAAAATACTTACGTTTTCATTTCAAATTATTGATGCCAGACTGGCCTCAAGGAAAAGCACATTGCATGTTCTTGCTACTGCATATAGCTTGAAGGTATTATATGTCCGATCAAATTAAATTATTACTAGGCTTTTGGGCACTACAATGTTGCATTTACTCTTCCAAAAACTTGTTTCATGCACACATTCAAAAATCAAAACCCTTAAAACTTATGCAAGAGAAAATTAGAGATGATTTTTTTTAATTTGTCTATAGCAAGGACAGGGGATATTTGACAGGCTGGAGGCCACAGTTCTACTTCCTTTTTTTCCTATTTTACAAATCATAATACAAACATCCTTAGTGCTAAAAAGGGAAAACTTGTGGCATGCAAACTGCAGGGGAAATATCTCATGTTTGGCTAATGCAATAGAATGTGACAATGATACAGTAGTTGAATCCCAGTGGATTTCTGAAAGGTCTCAGATCAGCAGGAAGGAAAATAGTGTAGGAGAAATCTTTTTATGAGAACAAGATGGCATTGTCAGATTTCACACCAGATTGGGCAATAAATCTCTGCAGAGTTCAGCCTTGCATGCAGATATTTCAGGATACAAAAAGTGGAAATTCTGTCTCTGCACGCAAGTTTAGGCATAGAAAATGGGATGCAAGCTATGTTGACTACATTCATGAATCATTGACCAAATATAGCTGAGCTGGTCATCCAGGAAATGATGTTTTTCTGTTATGTGGACTGCCAGATAAAGAGAGAATGTAGGATATACCAGTATCACATCTGCAAAGTAAAAGCAGAATGATCTTCATGTTGCCTTGCTTGTTTATGTACTAGATGTCCACAGGAATGTCTACAGCAGGAGTGTCAAACTTGATTTCATTGAGGGCCGCATCAGGGTTGTGTTTGACCTCAGGGGCTGGGTGGGCGTGGGCAGCTAGACTTCACTTGTGTCGGGGGCACCTATGATGGCCTGAGCGCTCTGCCAGCGGCCCTCCTGAGCTCCATTTTCACTGGCAGAGGGTTGCAGGAGATCCTGAGCTCCATTTTCACTGGCAGAGGCCACCGCGGGCCAGGCCTTCGCTATTTCCAGAGAAGCCCTGCAGGCCAGATCTGGCCCGCGGGCCTTGAGTTTGACACCCCTGGTCTACAGCATGTATACTTCAATGTTTTGGGGATAGACTAAATACCTCTGATGAATTTCCTGCTCTGCCATAGATGCATTAGTAGTAAGCACCTGAATCTGCAGCTATATTCCATGGCATGAAAGCAACACCCTCGGTAATATCATCTTTTATCTGTTTTAAATGTTTTATTCTCTTTTAAAATATATTTTTTGACTTTCTATCCAGTGTAGGTATATTTATACATTCAATGTCCCCTTTACATGTCTTTTTCTAATTTCAAATTCTAATATGTTGCTTTCTTCATAGCAAAGTCACCTAAGCTTCTATTAAATACCTTGATAACTCTTTGATGCCTCATGTCCAATAATACAATTGAAGCGTGATGACTCAAACTGTGTGCAAAAGCCCATCCTTATTTATACAATAGTTTTCTAAAAAGTATTATTTTAATACTTTCAGACAATTTCTCTGAACATTACACAAGTATCCGCTGTCTAAACAATTAACTGCACTGGCAAGATCAGACAGACACAAACAATTGAATGAAAATAATGCCTTCAATGTTACACGTTACCAACAAATCCAAGCACTGGCATTCTAAACTCTGCATCATTTATGATCTGTTCTTTCACTTCAGTTAGCAGAGTCTTGCTGTAAGAATGGATTATTTTGCTACTGTTTATGAACTGGGAGCCTGGACTTCTGGCTTCCTATGGAAGCCTATGACCCAGAAATGAAATGTCAGTTCATAAAATATAATCACAAAGCTTCACATGGAGGAGGAGGAGGATTAGGAGGAAGAAAATGGCAGTTTTTTGAGACTGAGATGTTATCACATGGTTTCTTTCACCTGAGCCCAACTGTCAACTCAGAGCACTACATTGCAAATCTCAAAAATTCGAAACAATAATAAAAAGTTTGAAAGTGCCGAATGACATTTTTGCTGCAACATGACAGCACCAGGCCTTGCACCTCACAAGCCACTCTCTCTGTTATACTCTATTCACCATACAGTCCAAATCTGGCACCATATGAAGTCCACCTTTTTCCAAAATTGAAACAATGCATTTGTGGAGCCTCTGTTTGACTCAAGTGAAGAGGTGAAAAACGCTGCCAGGATCTCACTGAAGAAAAAGATATACAATTGTTTTGTGATGGCTTTAAGAAACTTGTCCATTGTTGGAAGAAAACTGTAGCAAATAAAGTGGAAAATTCAGGTAGCAAGAGAGTTCATTTCAAGGATTATTTTCCTGTATCATAAAATATTCCTATTTAAAATAAAGTTATGGGGGCATCACTTTTCATACATATTTGTTATCTTCTGCAATTTTAGGCAAAATCCACTGTTAAGTGAATAGACTTCCATCATGCAAATTAGTTTTTCTACCATTATTTCCTTGAACAATTGTTCATATGCCTGCAAACTGCTTTGAAGGGCTTAGAAATGTTTTGAAGAATATTTGGAGAAGTTAAGTTCTCCATACTGCAGAGCAGTCAGAGAAACTGATCTTTAGGTTAAAATATTATCTTCTATTATCAGAAAAATACTGTTGGTTCTAATCTAGCATATAAGCATGCCTATTTATAATCAATAGCCACATATTTTTCTCATACCTACCTGCAATAAGTGTTCCATGAATATTATCAAATACCATAGCAAAAATCTGTGACTCTCTGAGTGCCCCTTGAGAGTCATGGAACACTTGCATCAATGAAAGCGTCTGGATATCCCACACTCTGAAAATCTGAAGAAACGACAAGAAATATGATGTGCGGTAATTAATTGCCATAACAAAATGATCAAAATATGTTGTAGTTCCTTGTATTTCCCTGTATAATGCCTCAATATACAATATACAAAACAAAATGAAAGAATGGGATATGCATACTAGTGTTCTTCCTATTGTTTGCTTGTCCCACCATAGCATATTTATTATATGTACAGTGTATTCTGCTATTCTGTTACACACATTAGAACATACCCTATTGTATTCTCACGAAGCCCAAATTCAATTAATATCATCCCCAAACTAGATGTCTAGAGTGTCAGTTGAGCATTAACCATAGGTACATTGATTTCTTTTGTGTTAGAGAAGAATCCAAGCCCCCTGCCATTAACGCACTGCAGACAGAATAGCATCAGACACAACTTGACAACACACATGGACCAGGATTTTTTTCCTACTGATCTGAGACTATAATAAAGATTGACTGACTGATCAGGATCACCATTCTCCACTTCTATGGAAGAGACCAGAGCTAGCCTCATCAGGCAGAAGGAGACAGCCATCTCAGGTGGTGCATCAGGAAAAATAGAGAATTAAAATGTTGTGAGAAGCTAATTATTAACAACTAATTAACAAGGTCACTGAGAGGAATGGAAAAATCCTGCTTCCAACCATCGTAAACTGAGTCCCTGGGAGAGAGAAAGAATCCTGCTCAACATTTTTATTTTCTTATTGGATAACAGCTATGTGAACTCAATAACATTGAGAAGGGATATTCAGAAAAAGGTGAAAGCAACAAATTTTACTTCCTCCTCCTTCTTCCTAGCAACCCAGTGCAGATTACTATTTTTGCACAACTAAAATTCAGATTGCTAGTTTTCTTTTGATAGCAGAAAGGTGGTGATCCACACCCAGGTAGACATCATTACAATAAGACATACTTTCCAGCCTGAAAGTATCCAGCCTGTATATAGCAAAAGGCAGTTCTCCTTTTTCCAGATGGGGCTGCAATTGCTGAAGCTTCCTAAGGATATAAATAATGCCTTTCTGATTTAATGGTACCTTGGGCTGAACCAAAACCATTGTTATTTTGCACCTTTTTTCCATACAGTATATGTGAAAATATAAATCAGAAAAAGACTACCTGGGTTTAATCAGATTGGTTCTTAAGAATATGAATTCTTTTTATTCAGAAGCAATAACTGCCTTAGAAGTCTAATATTTCATTATACTTGAATTTTGGCACAATTTGACAATAAGACAGTACAGCAGACAAAACAAAGTTCCATAATGTTGACTAATTGTGGTAAGAAGTTAGTGTATCATTAATGAACTTGCTAAATAGCCATACATGGTCTTCAGTCTAAAAACCATGCTGATTGCTGTATTCACGAGGTATAATTAACACTTCTCATAGGGCACTGTTTAAGCCAGAAGCAAATTAATAGATAATAGAAGACATAAATACATTCCCGTACCCTGAGCAACTGTGATTATATTTTGATAGGACTGTAGTTCTTGAAATATTTAATGATAAATACAGCTATGCTATATTTATATCCTTGTGAAATGTCTGGCTTAAAAGCACTTTTATTTGAAAAGGCTGTCTGAAGATCATATGCAATTTATTAAATTGCTAATGTTCTGGGGGCTCTTTGATAAAGAGTTAATCTGTGTAGATGCTGAGTTTATGCTGGTAGCCAGATGGCTACCTATTACTGGTGTAGCTTAGTATTAGCACATCTGCCACAACCTACCTGTTTATGGCACTTTTTTCCCAGATCCAGAAAGCAGATAATGAAATTCATATCAGAATCTAATATGGAAAACATTTTGCATACCGTTAATTTTAGACTAGTCACCTTCCAAATGCAATTCACCTTCCTGATTGTCATCTTTAAAGCCCTACAAAGCTGTGAGGGAATTCTGAACATCAAACCATGTCTGAACAAGGTCAACTCCTTCCAGGTCCTGTCCTTTCATGTCTGCCATCTGACAGGCCCTTGGAAGGAGTTGACCACACTCTCGTTCCACAGAGATTCAGTTAATTATGTGCTCTTGGGCTTTAGGAAAGCCTTTGACCCACTTATTCCACCTGGTTTAGGAGGAGAGGATGCTGTAACTGACAGTGGGATTGCAAGGAGGCAATCCTGAACAGCCTATAAATTAGGAGATGAATTATTTTCTGAACATCTCGATAACTTCCTATCAGTTAAGATAAGAAAAAAGATGTCTGTTTTCCTATTGGTATATAGAAATATAATTTAACTTTATCTCATGGAATAAAACACAATAGAACATTTGGAAAAGAACAATTTGAAGCTTGTTTTACAGTACACGTGACTTAAAACCTACTTTTATGCATTACATTTTATACCCAGAATGAGAATTTCCTGTAATTTCGCATGAAATAGATTAAGCAATTGAAATCAATTTAATCAATATTAAATCAAAATTAGTAATTTATTGCTTTTAAAATCACTTTTAGCTATATTTCTGTAAATTGAAACAAAACAAAACAAGACTATAATATTCTTCTTTTTTCTAAATGGAAAGCTACCATTAAGACCTGAAAGTCCAGCATTCAACATCACCTGTAGAATACAAACTATGATTAGTGAATGAACAGTAGGGTCTACATTAGCCTTCAGTGAAATTCACTCTGAAGTATATTGAACATAGTATTATCAGGTCAAAATGTTGACTCAGTTCTTTTGAAATTAAGGAGAGGGAGCTTTGGGGCAGCATTTGGCACACTATTATAATAGCAGGAATAGCACCTAGCCAATCTTGGTTTATCTTGGAAAAGTTATGCATAGCCTGATTTACAGACTTTGTCTTTATATTTTTATTATTGAATCACAGACCAATTCCAAAGGCCTTGCTATTCCATAAAGTAGCATTTTGTTCTGCAGCATGTTACAGGAAATTTACCTAGAAAAACATTCCACAAAGGCAATTTTTTCCTACCTTCTACTTGGCTTTCTGTCCTCACTTTGGGATAAAGGTTGCCAGCGACTTTTTCAAATATGGACAGTTTTAACCAAGGTTGCTGTGAGCACTGCTGGGAAATGCACATTGCCAGATGCTCAGTGCCAGACTCTCTATCTCATTGCATCTATGCATCAATGGTGGGTTGCCCCCGGTTCGGACCGGTTCACAAGAATCCGTAGTAAAACCGGGGGAGGAGGCCCCACCACCGCCCTGGATGTCGTCATCTGCGCATGTGCAGAAGCAAGGCGCACACAATCCCATTGTGAACCAGTAGTAAAGGTAAGTAGAACCCACCCCTGCTATGTATGATTGCATGAATTCAGATACAAGGATAGTTGAAGGTTCCAGTAGATTTGAATGGAACATTTGGAGGCGACTATGATAAACTGCTCTTGGGAACTTCCACAGTATTCACAGCAACAGTATTCACTCTTTCGGTTCTGGAAAAAAAAGCAGAATTTGCCCCGGAGCCCTCCTAGAATCTGCGAAGAGAATCTACTATACATACTAGCTGAGTGCATGGGATATAAGGCAAGGAAGAGCTTTTTAGTTTTAAAAGGCACACTCAAATAAGTATGATAAAGTACATTAGTATATAGCTAAGTCATCATCATTTTTAATGTGAGGTTATAAACAATGAATGAGAGTCAGTTTGGTGCAGTGGTTAAGGCACCAGGCTAGAAACCAGAACACCATAAATTCTAGTCCTGCTTTAGATACAAAGCCAGCTGGATGATCTTGGGCCAGTCACTTCCTTTCAGCCCTACGAAGCAGGCAATGGTAAACCACTTCTGAAAAAAGCCTTGCCAAGAATACAGCAGGGACTTATCCAGGCAGTCTTTGAGAATTGGGCATGATTGAACGGAAGAAAAGGTACTGCTTATTTCTTTCAAATTATCTAGATTTGTAGCTGAATCATTTTAAGTCTTTTGACATAGCAATTCCTTTGCATACTAACTTAGACATAAGTGTCAATGTCTATAAGATTCTTCTTAGGCAGCGTAGGTATTCAGAACAAAGCATGAGATCTTGGTTCAGGGGAACAAGTGAGATGTGGGAAAAGAAAATCACATTATTATTTAAATCCTACAACTATGTAGTTTTGCTAAGGGCAGAAAACCTTCATTATTCGCTCCAATAATTTCTGAGACCATTATACCAAATGTTCTCAACAAAATACAGTCCAAATTGCCACTAAAGCATGAAGAGGCAATGTAGGACCCTGCAGATATAGCTTAATTACAACTCCAAGCGGCCTTGACAATTCGTTATTCTGACTTGATGCTGGGAATTGCTGCCCAAAAATACGTAGAACGCCTGTGGTAAAAATGAAGAGGTTGAAGCTAAACCTACATAAATTGACAACCGTTGACATCTTATAAGCTTGGATATGGAGTGTAAAACAAGTATAGCAAATGTATTTTCCCCCCAAAAGAACACTGAAATGAAAACAACTTAGGACAGCAACTATTTAATTAAAATAGAAATAGAATCTTTAACCTTATGCATATTTTAATCATAATTTTCATAGTTTGTATATTTGCTCAGCCTTGTAACCAAATATTCAGGACTTCCCCTTGCCAAATGCAATCAGTTAATAAAAGCAAGGACTCCTCATTTTAACCCTGAGCTACAAACATTCTCCTTTATTGGAGGAAGGATTATAAAATTTGTTCACGATCTTGAGTTATTTCTAAAAATAATAAAGATTGGATAAAAAAAATATAAAACCATGTTTCAGATATCTTAGAAAACTTTGTTAATCATTTTGATGAATGATAAGAGGAATTGTTCTTAGATTTTCTTAGATATGAGACATTTGTAGCATCCTCTTAATATTGTCAGCATCTTGTCTTGTCTTTTAGTTTAAAATCATGACCGATAGAATTAAATGATGCTGTACAAACAAATGCATAATATGTACTTCAAAGAAGAGGAAAGTGGAATTATACTGCATCTATTTCAGATCTGGAGCCTGTAAGGAAAAATGAGTATTTTATAATTCATAATATTAAAAAGATCACTTTTGGCAGAGCATATGGTTTACACTAAGTCAAAGGTAATTCCATACCTTTGCAGTAGAAAGACTGATAATGTATTGATCCTTTTCATTGGTGACAATCTCTGTGATACTAAATAAATGTCCCATCAATTTCCCCACTGGTTTGGTGTTGATGTTTGGATGCCATAAACGAAGAATTTTATCTTCTCCTGGAATTAAATGGATCATTTATTTTATTATTTTATTTATAGAAAGCGGTATCTCCCAGCTTGCTGTCCTCCAGATGTGGAAGGCTTCACTCCCAAGTTCCCAGTCAACATGTCTGAAGATCAATAAAACTGGAAAACATCAGACTAGACCAGCCAGAAAGACCTAGAAGTAGAACTAGACCAGCCAGGAAGAAAATACAATGTTTTAGTAATTCATGACTAGTATATATATATTGACTGGTTCATAAGACTGACCAAGCTAACAATGAAATGAATACTTGTTTATTCTGTCTATATATTGTATTGAACAATATGTAACTATTTTCAGATCTAATTAGAAAATTAGAAAAGGTTTGCTATGATCAGTTTGAGTTACCCATCTATGTGTGATATGCAGTATACAACTGCCATAGCAGAACATTCAAAAATAAGGACACTCTGGTGAGTTGTTTTACCCTATACACTTTAGCAAAAATAAATTGTTTTGCCTTTCTGTTCCTCAAATGTGAAATGTTGGGTGTTGGTGGATTTTTGTTTTTGTTTTGCCTCTCAAGCTCTAGAACAATATTTTTAATCTATCATAGTGGTTTGCAACCCATCATTTCAGGGTTTTTGTAATGTGGCTTGTTCAGCATTCGGTGAAAAAGCAAACTATGACTTAATAGCAATAGTACTTAGACTTTTATACTGCTTCATAGTGCTTTACAGCCCTCTCTAAGCGGTTTACATATCTGGATCCTCATTTTACCAACTTTGAAAGGATGGAAGGCTGAGTCAATACTGAGCCAGTGAGACTTGAACTGCTGAACTGCTGGCAGCTGGCAGTCAACAGGAGTAACCTACAGTACTGCATTCTAACTACTGCATCACCATTATTTTCTTATTTTGTAATTTAAAGCCCATATTCTTATCTTGTCTGGTCAAGGTGGCTAACAACCAAAAATACAAATGATAAAAAACAAAATTTAAAACAACAAAATTAAAAACAGAGGGAAAATGAAAGTATCATTAAGATTAGTTCAATTAACATTTGAAATGTGCTAATTCCTGTCAGCAACCATAATCTTGCTGTCAGTCCACCAAACAATTTAATATATTTTAAAGGGGTTTTGGAGGTGAGTTTTTCTTTTCATAGATGTTATTCTTTTCCTGAAAGAAGAGAGGAGGCATCATTTCTTATTCCACTCCAGACAATAAAAAGTTTCTGGACTGATTGGATCAGTCCTTCAATCATATTCTTTGACAATCCACACACAGTGGCACAGGATTATAGCTGTATTGTAGCTGCAAATAGTAATATACCCAGCTCCCTAACAGCCCAGCCTCATTACACAGCAGAAAGTAGCCTACGTAGGGCAGATGATACCATTGGTCTATTACTCTCCAATTTCAAATAGAAGTTTGATCATCGGGAGAATGGGATGCTCATCAGGTCACCAGAAACCACCATAGTATCTCATAAGGTTCTATGTGTTACGCAGTGTATTGATCAGGAAGATTGCCATACCCATATCCAGTTCATTTGTTAGGACTAGCTGGCTGTGGTCCATTTAAGTTAGCAGCTTTGGCAGCAAGGCCGAAGTAGCCTTGTACTGCTTTAAAGGAACTTATTGTCCTACTGTTCATTATAGGCCCAGGCTGAGTTGGGCTGCGGCTACAGAAATGGATAGGAAGGAGGGAGAGTGGCTAACCAAGCACTTGAATTGTTTACTTGAGTTTCAATAGAAAGACTGTATGAAGTTCATTACTGAATTCCATTTAAAAAAAAAATGGGATTCCCATCCCTCTCCAAAACCTAGGGGAGAAAGCATAAACATCTGACATGCATCACTATCTAGCCACTGATACCCTAAGACCCAAAACATATTAAATATGGCCCCAGTCACTAAATGGATACCCATCTGATTCATACATTTAATGCATATAGAATAGAAGAGAATAACAGAGTTGGAAGCAGTGGTGGGTTCCAACCGGCTTTACTACTGGTTCTCTTTGTGCAACTGCTTCGTGCGTGATCGCCGCTCTGCGCAAGTGCGTTAGGAATCTGCCCAGCTGAGGTGCGGCAATCCACTCTGCCGCACCTATCAGCTGGGCTAAAAAAGAAGAAATAAAAGGTAAGAATAACATGGGGGCGGGTAGGAGGGCCCATCCCCCCGACAAAGAGAACCGGTTCGGTGATGTCATATCGTCACGGATACCGGTTTGGCCGAACCGGGCCGAACCGGGAGGAACCCACCACTGGTTGGAAGGGATGTTTAATATGTTTAATGTTGTCTTCTTCCCTAATAGCATATCCATTGGCCATATTATCTTTGTATTATTTCTGGAGAGCATCTAGATTGGGGACATAGTTTTAATATGGAAAAAAATAAGAAGCAACTGCACAATCCCTTGCATTTTTCAAGAGGCAATGTGTGTCATAGAATTGTCTTAGAGAAATCAATGTTACTCTGAATGGGGGCTTGATGTGACACAGAAGACTACATAATAGCTTTGAAGGCCATCAAACTTCCTAAATATTAATTATATTAATCACTTTAAGAATTTGTTAACATGAATGAGAACAAATGCACTATTTGTCTATCCCTTGCCACACCTCATAATTCTTCTGGGCATGATGACTAGATTAGAAGACACTTCAAGTTTTCAACTGAAAAAAAACCCATTAAGTTACAAAGGCACTCATTTTTAGAAAGTTGTTTTCAAAAAAAAACTTGGATAGGACAACAATTTCTCAGAGCTGCAAAACTGCCACAGAATACATTTTGGAACAATTTTTACTAAACATTCCAGCAAATCTCACTTGCTTTGTGCATCATATACGTCTCTTATAGCTTTCCGAAACCAAACTTCATGCAAATTATTTCATAGTTAAAATTTATTTACTTTATCATGCATTTTCTATTAATCAACAAATGTCTCATTTTCCTCACATCCATTCATTTCTCAGGGACTTGCGGAAGGGCAAAAAATATGGTTTATATCAGCAGTCCCCAAAATTTCCGGCTTGACAGACCAGCAGGGAGAAGCATGGTTCTGTGCTCGCAGCAGGCACGCATGCCCACTGCTGGCGTAAGTGGAGCTGTGTGCATGTGCGTGCTCGCCTACTGCTTGCATGGCCCAGTTCCAAACAGGCCACGGCCTGATAGTGGCCTGCGGCCTGGGGGTTGTGGACCTGTGGTCTATATAACTCCAGCCCAGCCTAAAGTTGTAATTTACTTACAAATTCTGCTCACTGTCATTCCTTACACCCTTACAGTCAAAATTCAGCCAAACTCATTCCTGGTACAGTTAAGAAATTAATTTGCCTGTACTCTTTGTATTCACTCTTTCTATCTTTCCCTTTATATAGGAAAATAACTGTCACAAGTAAATGCCTTATTCTCTAATGTGTAAATAGTATATGAACGGGATGTCAGGGGTTAATTTATTCTTCATTTCTTAATGTATTCATACTTCACCACTCCCATATCTAGCTCCACCCATTGTATATATAAGGAGCTACACACACTCTCTTCTTAGCTTCTATCTGTGAATATTCAGTGAATGTAGAATGCCTTATGTAAATAAAAGAAAATATATTTGAACTCTTAATTCTCTCATAACTTATTGAGTCTGATCCTGAAAATATTGCAACAAGCTGGTAGCAGAGGATGGTTAAATTGACTCAATAAAAACTTAAATATGTCTAAGAGAGATAGGCCCAACACCAGGGCATACAGCAAAGAAATGGAAACGGATCAAGAAATAATAGATGAGTCCACAAATGCAATTTCGAGAGAATCCGAAGAATACACAACTGAAGACGAAGAAATAATAGATGAAGATGGTGACTGAGAGGAAATTAAAATAGAAAACAACGAACTCAGGTCAGAAATATTAAAACTGTTAAAGAGCCAGAAAAACGATGAAAGCCTCATTGCGAACCTCCAAGACATGTTGAAAAACAGCGGAGCAGCGAGAGAGAAGCACATCGCCACCGAAAAGTCAAAAGACTCCAAAATAGTAAGTGATACGACTAAAGAAAAGAACGCTATAAAGAAGAAAAACGGTGATCCCGTGCAAAATTTTGAATGGCAGCCATCTTGGTTCCAACAGACCTCCAGAAGGAGCGAAGCAGAGCCAATCAGAAAACTTGATTCAAAATTTCTGGCGCGAAAGGCACTACTGGATAACGAAAACGAAAAAGAAAAATCAAACACCTCAGAAGAATCAGAATCGGAAAGTGAAGGTGATTCAACAGATACTCAAATAAAGTCAGCAATGAAAATGCTTTTTGCTGCATTTGGACCAAAACTAAAAATTACCAAAAAGTCAACCAGAAAACGAACGAGCAAGCCAACGTCTCAAAATCTACCCGCTCCCATCCTGACGACGAGAGCACCGACGCCTGAACCAAGAGAGCCCTGCAAATACCGTCCCACACCGCAGACCGATGAAAGCACCAACGCACTCAAGAGAAGAAAAAGAACAAACGCCATCGTCAGAACCCCTAAGATCGAGCCGGAGACCGATTCATCTGAGGAGGAGCTGAACGAGCGAGCCGCAATGACGAGAACCTCTCACGACGACTCCAGGATCGAAATGAGCAACGCGCATGCGCGAGACTACGCAGATGGCCCGGGAAGACATGAGTTGCCGAAAGGACCCTGCAGACTCGTCGCGAGCATTCCCACGCCGTTTTGTAATTTTCACCATCTACGAGACCACGGACTACCTCCGGTTGTAAGTAATGGACCTAATAATGTCGGAAACTTGCCCAGTGACTTCCCAAAGCTGAGAATAGATGGCATTAATTTACAAGAATGGTATCAGCAGCTCCAGGTGGTCTTTATGAAAGAAAACTTACTGTTTTTCATCACTAATCCCCCCAAAAGACCTTGGACTTTAAAGTTAGACTGCTTACACCATAGAGCATTTTTCTTATTAATTTCTAGTGTGTCTCCTGCCATGTATCACAGTATTAAGCAAAATCTGACTGTCTCAGAAATTATTCAATGCATGTTCAATTTGTTTCACAGTGATAGTGTAGCTACCACCACAAGAATGTCTAAAGTTTTCTTTTCTTCTAGGATAAAACCAGGGGTTTCCATAAGTGAACATTTAATATCTTTAAACAAAATAAGAGCTGAGCTACATTTAAGGGGGGAGGTGATTTCAGACCAAACAATGAAGAGTGTTATCATAAACTCACTTGACCCATCATGGGACAATTATATGTCACATTTAGACACAATCAATCTTGGATATTTATCCATAGAAAGTCTATCCAATAAGTTAATAGCTGAAGACAATTCAAGGAAGAGCCGCTCTAACAATCACATTGAACATAAACC